TTTTTTATATTAAATATGTGGCTTATGCCGATCATCATATTAATGTAGTCTGATATCCACTTTTGCAGCGATTTTTCTCACTCGCAGATGTCAAGGAAAGCTTTGCTGGCGTCACTGTAATAGCATATAATAAGATACGTAATATATCTTATGTTGATAGATAAGGACTGCTATTATTATTACAACTAAAAGTGTGGAAGGTAAACTAAAACTACTTAAATAGTGCAGTCAACAGGTCAGATTTTTTAACTTACGCTTTACATTGTAATTGCAATAAATTGTAAGGAAGGAGTATTAACACGTATAGGCGAATATTTCACCTACTTACCTATATTTCCCGATATTTCGACCGAGTTACAACGCATTCGTTAATCCCATTTCAGTAAAATTTATATCAATTTTTTTTTTCCAATTAATCTCTAATATTGTAAGCGGAAAAAAATATTTTTGTGGTAAATAAACTCAGTAACTTTACAGTACTATTTTTATATTATCTCAAAATAATATAATATAATAAATTTTCCTTGGACTTGGCTTTTTACAAATACAAAAGGATAATTTAGTTTGATTGAATACTGCTTATTTAAAACTTCCCAAGCAATTAATATTTAACTGTACATGGATTCATATGTAATAATCTGGTGGCTCAATAAAGTCGTATCTTGCAATTTGTCATCATATGATATTGCAATTAGTCCTTTATATTTTAAAATTAAGAGTTGTTACATTAATTTTATCCATTTTGTAAACGGAGAGGGATATAATTTCATAGATATATATATTTATTATCTCATATCGATTTATTATCAATATATTCAACTACAGTTATGGTTAATTCGAAATACCTTTTTGTTTAAATTCGGAAATTTTGATATTGAAAAATGGCTGGTCCAATGTTTGATACGATACTTATTAAACTTAAATTAAACAGAGTCCATAGTTAAATGTGTTAATTATATTACGTCAAAAACGGAAATCATTTAAAAGAATATGAAAACATTGATTCATAAAAAGATTAAAGATATAAGAAAACTCGATTCAAATTAATATACACACCTAATGCCAAGAAAAATGATATAATCGTGACATTGTATCATAAACGCTAGAGATAGTAGGTTAAGTCAACCCATTTAGGTGCATCAGTTTCTACGTGTTCATCCCTTTTCATGATAAAATTTTCACTTACGAACCCTCTAGAACTAAAACTTCAATTAGCATTCTGGACCGCTACTAACTTTAATAATATAGCATTATCAACAGCACAAGAGAGACAGAAATATTACACAGTTGTGTAATATTTCTATGTCCAATGTTAAACTTGATTACTTTGTAATTTGAATTTGAAAACTATTAGATGTTTACAATAATCTAATGAGTGCATATTGGCGTTTTATTTCACATCTAAATAAATAAAGGGCTTTTAAATTAGCAATTAAATTAGCTCTTTCCATCAAAACACGTCAACTACATATTCTGTTCTTATTTTCCTATGTAGGTCAAATAACTCGATGTTGACCAAAAATTCTACACTCCATTTTATTATTATCGATACAAAGGAGTTCTCTTTCTCATCTCTAAATTAAAATTAAAAACATAATATCTACCTCCCCGTCTGTTCACTCAAATAGAACAAGGAATGAGGATATGGTACAAAATTTTTATAAACAAATCTGTCAAATTTCGCAATTGATTTTAAACTTTAGAGTTGAAAATCAATTGCGGACTCGATCGATGTGAATTTTTTTAATCAATCAATTCTACCTACTTTTTAGTTTAACTACATACACCATGTAGTATACATGTAAATTACAAGCAAAAAATAGTTTAATAAACAAATAAATATCAGTATCTTATTTTCTAAAAAAAATAATCAAACCAAAACTGTTGCAGTATTATTATTAATTTATATAATAATTTTGCATGTTGGTATAGTTCCCTTGTTTTAAACATTGATCAATTTAACATATATTTTTTTAAATTGTGATAGTGATGTATTTAAATTTGCATACCGGTTTCCATAATAATAATAAAATACTAAATATTAAATATCTATTACATCAATCACAACATTTAAGAACAATTATACAGTAAATCTCAAATAATATCTTTCACAAATTTACAGTAAGATACAACTGATGTGTCTTTAATGTGAATTTTAGAGATGCGTCTATTAGTGAAACCGGATATTCGGCCTATCATTTTACTATTTTGACGAGGTTTAAAAACAAATGTTGATTTTAATTTTAATTGCTTTATTTTATAAGCTTTATTGAACATATTCTTCATAGGATTTTTTTGACTTATAATATAACATAAATCTAACATAAGAAGTTCTGTCTTTTAGTACTGTACAGTGTCATGTAGCCACTGTATAGTACTAACACCGATCATTCCGTAAAGCCGATAATGCGGCCGAATACAAATAGTAAAAAAAATACCGAATACGCAGAATACCAATTACCGAACGAATATTCGGCGCATCTCTAATAAATATTGAAGCACTTCTAATGTCGACCAATCAGAATGCTTCAAGAATCAGACCATCAAACGATTCACCAATATCCACGCATGCGTTGTATTTTACACCTTACATTTATTAAAATAAAGCTGACTATTTTTAACGCAATTGTGATCTGCGCTAAAGAATATTCACAATGCATATTAGTTAGGATTTACTGTATTATTTTTGCGTGTCGAATATCATTGTTATTAACTGAACTAACTCGAAATAAAGAAAAAAAAACATAGACAATAATTTTCCCGCCAATTTTATTAGTACGTCACATTACATGCATAATAATCTCTGTTTTAAAACATAGATTTTACACCAAAATGATAATCTACCCAATATTGTTTATATCTTAATTTCAGTCCAATAAGCGTATCTTTTTCTTCTTCAATCGACCGACGAGTCTGAATCGTCGTTCTTGGTTAGAATATAGAAGGCGATGACGGGAATCGAACCTAACACCATACAGGATCCCATGCCGTAGAAACACCATGAGTAACCACCGGTCACATCTCTGACGAGTCCTGTAAAATATTATATTTAAAATCATTCATCATCATTAGACAACGTCCAAAAAACTAGCTAAGTGCGAGTCGAACTGGCGCACGAATGAGGAAGTATTTAAAAAAAAATTAGTTCCCGAAATCAAACTAGATGTCGCTACGGTACTTTCTTGATTTCTCCATGACCACCCATTTACCTTTATCTTTCATGCATAAAGGTAAATTAATTTTCAAAACTCAATAAACAACTCATATTCTATTTGCACTTTTTCGTATTTGTATTGATATCTAAGTTTCGAACATTACAGATATCAGTTTAAATCAATGATATTAATATGTCTAGATACGCAATACATACCAAAAATCTGAAGCTACTAAAACTAAGACGTTTGTCTTAGTTTTTTCGTTCTTCACTTCATTACTCAATCAACTCCCGCCAAGAAAGTACAAAAAAATGCTCCGCAAAAACAAAGAAAAACAGAAGATAAAATACGATTCTCTTTCACAAATACACATAATACGAAAGAATATTAAGTTTCACATTTAAATCATTAACATTTTTGGCAATAAATACAAAATTATAGCTAGGTTATAAAATAAATTATTTAATTTTCACAAATAAAATTTCGACATTTTGTCGTCAGTGTTGCCACTGATATTTACTTTCAATTTTCCCAAGTATATGGGAGCCTTTTCTTTTTATTTAACGTGGCTATAATTTATCTAAATATCTTTTTATAATTAATTATATAGCTCAGCTTAAGTATAGGCAACTGCGCTAATTGTGTTGATAATTTTTTTATACACACACATAGATGCTAATGTGATTTAATTTTTTCAATGCGTGCAATTCGTTAGTTATCGAGATACAACTTGAAAATACGTAAAATTGAACCTTTGTTTGATGTTTTATGAACTTTGACAAATGTTTTTGTCTTAACCACTGACTTTATCGAAAAACAAAGGGATATATATGCACAGAGCCTACTTTCGTGATTGTTTTTTTTTTTTTTCAAAGAAATTTTCAAAGTTACAGTATTTTACTAATTGATTTTATACATATATCTACACTACTCGTTCATTCATTCATTCATCACAATGGGTGAAATTTTCGACAGCTGGCAATACAATATCAATTACCCATTTTTCCGTTCATTTTACCGTTCGCACATATTCTGTCTTTGTTTAATTTACAGTTTAATCGTAGATATGAGGGAGACAAATATAATAAATCTATATATAATATATAGTATAAATATTATTTGCAAAGCTACGTCCTGATTTCGGAAAAGTGCTACGCTTTTTGGCGCGTCTGTTGTATGGGATTGCTTCTCTAGTTATTAAACTCATTGGTTTAAATAGTTAAAAGGTAATATTGAATTAAGTCAGATGTTCAATGAGGAAGTAATTAAAAATAAACGAAAGCACTAAAAAGCACTTCACTAGATGGCGACTCTAGCAAAAGTTGATCATTGCAGGAAACGAATGGACCAAAGATAGTAATTTTCATTCCTTTTAACTAACATATTAAAAAAAGTGAAATTTGCAAAGTTCGAAACTTAGGTATCAATACAAATACGAAAAAGTACAAATAGAATATGAGTTTGAAAACTAATTTACTTAGCGACATCTAGTTTGATAGGAATTTATGCTTTTTTTTTAATGAACAAAAATCGAGTGCTCCCGAGCCACCGCAGTAGGGAAGTAAAAAGTCTGATAACGATGATGACGTAGGAATAAGTCTTTCGCAAAATGAGGTATTATGAGAAAAGGTCTATTAAAGAATAGGTCATTTCGAGAATAGCTCGTTTTTTTGGCGTAAGCTATTTTGCGAAGTGGTACAATATCTGCTATTGATTTATTATGATATAGAAATGGCGAATTTGTTATGTCGATCGAAAATCAAGTGCTCGACTAGAATAGAATAGTGTTCCCGAGCTCCCGTAGTGGGCACGTAAAAAGGCTGATGACGATGATGTGGCACTGACCGGCGGTGGGCGGCACGGAGACGGCGGCGAGGCTCTGGAACATGCGCACGAGCCCGTAGGAGGAGGCGATGCGCGCGGTGCCGAACGCGTCCGCCAGCAGCACCGGCACCAGCAGGAACCAGCAGCCCAGGCACAGCCCGTACGCACCTGGCGCGTGACGCGTTACGCATGACGCATTACTCACGTCAATGGATGTACGACTCCCATGATTCGATAGTTTCGGTAGTGAAATATAAATGGCGGAAATAAACATACTCTGGTTTTGAATCTTAGACTTTATTTATTAAGATACAAAACAGGATATAATAGGGTATTTGACGCTATTCTGAAGACTATTTAAAACGGTTGTTTGATACATTATAAACACACTGTCAATATATTTCATGAGAATCTGTTCTATTTTTGATGAAAATAATTGTTAAAGTTTAAATAGCCAAAATCGCGAGAAAAACGCTGCTGTATGTAATGGCGCTAATCACGTGGTATTAGTGACGTCACATGGCGGTAAATGTGACATCGATTTCAGTGTCATGACGTTAAAGACATCAGCGTCGGTGACGTCAATATAGTTGTCGTTTCGTCATTGCGAGTATCGGGACTGACACTCGCACAGAAGTCACTACACTTACATCGACGTCACGACACTCACACGCTGATGTCTTTAACGTATGACACTGACATTACTTTAACGTATGACATATGACCCTGAAATCGATGTCACGACACTCACATAAAGTCACGACTCTGACAAAAGTCACGACAATTTCTTCGACATCACTCTACCTCAGTCTATCACGATACTTACATCGACGTCACGACACTCATACGACACTCACATCGACTTCGACTACACACAAGTCGATGTCACGACACACATCGAATCGATGTTGCGACACTCACATAGACATCGACGTCGATGTCATGACACTCGGACAGAGGTAACGACATTCACATCGTCGTCACTCACGACGATACATCGACATCGACGTCGATACCATGATACTCACACAAATGTCACGACACTCCTATCGACGTCGATGTCACGACGCTCACGACGTAACCGACACTGGCGTCGATGCCACGACACGCGCTCAGACGTCACGACAACTACATCGACGTCACCGACACTGACGTAGTTGATGTCACGATTGATGTCTCGACACTCACACAATGAGGAAGTATTTAAAAAAAAAACATTAGTTCCCGAAATCAAACTAGATGTCGCTACGGTACGTTCTTGATTTCTCCATGACAACCCTTCTGGTTTTTTTTCATATCTAAAAGTGAATTAGTTTTCAAAACTCAATAAACAACTCATATTCTATTTGTACTTTTTCGTATTTGTATTGATATCTAAATTTCGAACTTTGCAAACTTCAGTTTTTTAATATGTTAGTTAAAAGGAACGGAAATTACTGTCTTTGATCCATTCGTTTCCTGCAAAAATCAAGTTTTGCTAGAGTCGCCATCTAGTGGAGGTGCTTATTTAGTGCTTTCGTATTTTTTTAAATACTTCCTCATTGATTTTGATGATGTTTGAAAATCACACCGACACCAATACACTAACATCGACATAACTTTATTGACTTTACTTTATTTTATATCAATAATCATATTATTTTGACATAATTCACCGTGCGAGCGAGCCCATTGCGGATTGGTAGGTGTTTACAACTACAAAAGCATGTAGTGTCAATTTTTGTGAATAAATTTTTGAGGACCCATCCTACGACTGACCTTTGAGAAAGTTGAAGACCGGAAACACTCACGACTTCACCATGAAACTCTGTCTATGTCTTTACTAATATTATAAAGAGGAAACATTTAATAGTTTTTTAGGAACCATTAGGTTGAATGTTGGGTCCCTACTGTGGTGATGGAGACAACTGGCCAGGGAGACTAAAGGATAATTGTCTCCCTCCGAGCTAGGTGTTGTTAGCCCGGGGACCGCGGTCCAACCGATGTAGGTTGGACGTTCTATTTATGTTAATTGGTAATGAAACTTATTCTGTGTGATGTAGGTTTCTTTGTTCTAAATGTCTTATAGTTATTAATTTATGCTCCTTGTATTGGTACAGCGCCATCTCGTTACTTGCTGTTGAAACTTATTGCAGTTCGTCTTGCTATCGATGGCTGTGACGATGCTAGTCTTCTCGCTATCGATTGTTGTGGCGATGTTACTGCGATGAATTAGATGTCGCTATGTATCAGTCGCCACAGTTTGTTTGCATCGGATGAGTTTCAAAACTACTGGACCTATTTTAAGAATTCTTACACCCACAGGAAGCTACATAATATGTGATGAACATAAGCTATATTTCATCCAGGAAAACAGCAAATAAAAGGATAACATTGGAGCAGAAGTTTGTATAGGGACTTAAAAATACCATTTTTAACCACATTAACCATATTTTACTATTTAAATTGGCATTGTGATTATATCAGTTTCGTGATATGAAACTTTATCCAAATGAAATATTAAATAAATTCTAAGCCAGGATTAACATATGGGCTACTTTTTATCCCGCTAAACAGTTCCCTAGAAACCACGCAAGTGAAGTTGGCGGAAAACTAGTTTGGTTTGTAAGTGAATAAAAAAAAAAAACAAATTAATGAAACAACATCTAATTCTATATTCCTTTATTTCGTTCGTCAACTTTCGTAGTTTTTCTCATTACATATTTGGGTACTAGAACAATAAAGTTTATTACTTACATAGCAGGGTTCGGAATGATAATTATCTTAATAATTTGTAAAACACCACACAAACTCTTTGCGTACTTTGGAACTTGTTATTAAAGGGGAATAATCTTTTAACAACTATCAAATATGGTTTTTTTTTTATATAGAGAATTGTCTAGGAGAGTCACACTCAACCTTTTTTTTAATGGGGCCACAAACACGTTTCGATCTTGAAGCGCGGGCTGCAAAAATATGTAGGTGTTAAAAAAAACGTAATTCCAAAGTGGCGATGTATTTATTGAAAAAAGAAAAGGTGGTCACAATAAAGCCAGCTATACAATACATAATTTTGTAACCTTTATAATATTAGGTTATGATGAAGCCTCATGCAATGTAGACCAAACTTTAAAAGAGCAAACTTTCAACAGTTTTTCTGATGGGCGCGACATTTTAAAACTTAGTCAAAGTTTTAAAATTCTAGGTGGGCCAAATCACAAAGGCCCGGCGGGCCGCAGGTTGAGTATGGCTGGTCTAGGACGATTTTCATTTCATTCAATGTGGTTTGAATATATTTTTATAATTTAAAGCAACAAAAATAAGAATTATTTATGCCTTTCTGTATTTTTAATTTTTTTGCCAGTAACCACCGATAATTATCAGATATTTATCAATAATTATCAAAAAAGTAATTATCTTGGTAATTACAAACCCTGTTAGCATATAGAGTTTAATATCAATTACAGGATCCTCACCTCATTATGGTAAATATGTCAATTAATATCGGTCATTCAAAAACTTGTGTTTGTATTATTATTAATTTAAAGAATTTAATCTACCTTTTATATATATATATTTTTTAATGTTACCAGTACCCAATACCACCAAAAAAACTAATAGACGAAGAGCTAGTGACAAAAATGTGCAAGAGCTTTCTAAAGCTTGACATTTCAGTATGTTGAAGTACCCAGTGCGGAGGTCAGGTGCTAGAACACCTGATGGCTGCCGGGCAATGTGGAATACCAAAAATCGTAACTTAGATTAACATTGAAATATCAAGCTTTAGAAACTTGCACATTTTTGTCACGGTCTCTGAGACTATAAATCATTAAGATATTATTTTAATACATATATAGGTAATATATTAATTATTAGTCCAGTCAGAGTAATTCAAAGAAGGTCAATATGGTGTCAGTTTTGGCTCACGATTTGGCCGATGCAAAAGATGTACAGATTTATTGAATACATACCACGATGACTTAAATTTTCCAAAATATCTTATTTCACACGAAGTATAAGAAAAAAAAATTGTCGTTGACAGATTGACAACATTTGCAAGATGAAATAGATTGCCATCAAATTTCTGAAAACAATAGAACGTAAACTTATTCTGCAATATCAAAGACGCATGATTCATTCTGGCATGAATTAGCACCAAATTATCGATCTAACCAAACTCGCGAGTTGAACTGACGCCGGATTGATCGTCTAGTGGCAGCCTTATGTTAAGTAATGTTTCTTGTGACATTTATATGACAGATACGTTTAGAAACTAATTATTGTAAAAATAGCGCTCTGAAGAGGAACGTTATTTGTAGTTAACATTTTAATTTTTTAAAATCACATTTAAGCGTTAATAACGCAGAAATATTACTTTGAATTACAATGAAAAAATTAATTACACCTGTTACGGTTGATATCATAAACAAGTCGAAAATTGTGTTTTTCTTAGACATGAATATATTTCTGCCCCGAATTCAAAGGATATGACAGCCATTTTTGCCAATAGAACTTCATCAAGGCAAATAATACCTAATTGCGATTTAAATGGCGGTGATACCGTTTGAAACTTAAAGTATTATTTTCAATAGGTACACACAGAAGCGAATATGCTACTAGAAGCCACACTGTGACGTATCTTTATAATCACATACCATTCTCCTTTTGTAAACTTTTAACAAATCCACCCAATACCAATACTGCAATATTATTAGTGTCCGAAATTTAAAAAAATAAAACCGTCATATTTGACAGAACTAGAGTAGCTTAGATGTCGATATTAAAGTATCGATAAATTCAGAATTAAACAAAACATTAAGGAACTCTGAAATAATATTGCAGTATTTATTCGAGCGCTTAGTTTAACATTTGTTTCGCTAAACGCTGAGGCCAATATAATATTTGGCCTTAGATTCATTTTTAACCGCGTCGCGAAGACAATAGAAAGCAATATTGAATGCGGTTAAAAGTGAAACAGTCTTACATTCCAGTTCATTGCACATCAAGTTTGGAGGTTAAATTACCTGCACAGATTTGAACACATCGATTGGATTATATTTTCATGTAAAATGGTTCCAAACAATCGTTATTTGTTTTATAAGAGTTCTTATTAAATACTATAGCAGTGACATTGACCAACTCTAACGTAAGTTATGCCTGTCTTAAATGTACTGTAACGCCTCAGATATTTTAAGTTACTAACCAAATTGGTACTAAGTATGTTGAATTTTTTTTTTATAGTGGCGGCATTCCGAAAACTGGCGGCGCCTATAAGTAAATATGTGGCTTAAGCCGATCATCATTTTAATGTTGTCTAATATCCACTTTTGCAGCTATTTTTCTCACTCACAGATGTCAAGGAAAGCTTTGCTGGCGTCACTGTAACAGCATGTAATAAGATACGTAATATATCTTATGTTGATAGATAAGGGCTGCTATTATTATTACAACTAAAAGTGTGGAAGGTAAACTAAAACTACTTAAATAGTGCAGTCAACAGGTCAGATTTTTAAACATTCGCTTTACATTGTAATTGCAATAGATTGTAAGGAAGGAGTATTATTGCGATTAGGCGAATATTTTCACCTACCTATATTTCCCGATATTTTTAACCGAGTTACAACGCATTCGTTAATCCCATTTCCGTAAAATTTATATCAGTTTTTTTTTCAATTAATTTCTAATATTGTAAGCGGCAAAAAATTTTTTTGATGTTTATAAAATCAGTAACTTTGTACTGATTACACTACTATTTTTATATTATCTCAAAATAATATAATATAATAAATATTCCTTTGACTTGGCTTTTTACAAATACAAAAGGCTAATTTAGTTTGATTGAATACTGCTTATTTAAAACTAAAAACTTCCCAAGCAATTAATATTTAACTGTACATGGATTCATATGTAACAATCTGGTGGCCCAATAAAGTCATATCTTGCAATTAGTCCTTTTTATTTTAAAATTAAGAGTTGTTACATTAATTTTGTCCATTTTGTAAACGGAGAGGGCTATAATTTCATAGATATATATATCAAATTAATATCAATATATTCAACTATGTTATGGTTTATTCAAAATACCTTTTTGTTTAAATTCGGGAATTCTGATATTGAAAAATGGCTGGTCCAATGTTTGATACGATACATAAACTAAAATCAAACAGAGTCCATAGTTAAATGTGTTAATTATATTACGCTAAAAACGGAAATCATTTAAAAGAATATGAAAACATTGATTCATAAAAAGATTAAAGATATAAGAAAACTCGATTCAAATTAATATACACACTAATGCCAAAGAAAAATAATGTAATCGTGACATTGTATCATTAATGCTAGAGACAGATCAATTCCGTTTTATATAAATTAAATTAAATATTTATTGATAACTCGCCGACTAAAACTTTCCACCAAAGACGACTTTCTAATTATTTTCTGACCCCTTTAGGCATTCGTGGCGAAAACTCGAAGAATATTAATTATAATATATGTAGTAGGTTAAGTCAACCCATTGCATGTGCACCTAGCATCAGTTTTCTACGTGTTCATCCCTTTAAATGATAAAATTTTCACCTACGAACCCTCTAGAACTCAAACTTCAATTAGCATTCTGAACCGCTACTAACTTTAATAATATAGCATTATCAACAGCACAAGAGGGACAGAAATATTACACAGTTGTATAATATTTCTCTGTCCAATGTTAAACTTGATTACTTTGTAATTTGAATTTGAAAACTATTAGATGTATACAATAATCTAATGAGTGCATATTGGCGTTTTATTTCACATCTAAATAAATAAAGGGCTTTTAAATTAGCAATGACCACTCTTTCCATTAAAACACGTCAACTACTTGTTCTGTTCTTATTTTCCTATGTAGATCAAATAACTCGATTTCGAACAAAAATTCTACACTCCTTTTTATTAATATCGACAAAAAAGAATTCCCTTTCTCGTCTCTAAATTAAAATTAAAAAAATAATATCTACCTCTCCGTCTGTTCACATAAAAAGAACAAGGATGAAGGATATAGTACAAAATTGTTAATAAACAAACAAAAATCACAGACAGTGGAACACGTACAATCAACAGCGCGACAGTTTTTAACAAAACTGACAAATTTCTCAATTGATTTTAAACTTTAGAGAGTTGAAAATCAATTGCGGACTCGATCGATGTGAATTTTTTTAATCAATCAATTCTACCTACTTTTTAGTTTAACTACATACACCATGTAGTATACATGAAAATTACAAGCAAAAAATAGTTTAATACACAAATAAATATTATTATCTTATTTTCTAAAAAGAAAATTCAAACTAAAACTGTTTATGAATTTATATAAGTAATTGTAATTCCCTTGTTTTAAACATCGATCAATTTGACGTATTTTTTTTTTATTTTAATTCTGATAGCGATGTCTTTAAATTTGCATACCGGTTTCGATAATTATTTATTTTATTATTTATTTTTTATTTATTTCTCATTTGTTATGTCGAACGAAAACCGAGTGCTCGACTAGAATAGAATAGTGTTCCTGAGCCCCCGCAATGGGGACGATGACGTATAAAAGGTACGGCGGCGGCACTGACCGGCGGTGGGCGGCACGGAGACGGCGGCGAGGCTCTGGAACATGCGCACGAGCCCGTAGGAGGAGGCGATGCGCGCGGTGCCGAACGCGTCCGCCAGCAGCACCGGCACCAGCAGGAACCAGCAGCCCAGGCACAGCCCGTACGCACCTGACGCGTGACGCGTTACGCAATACTCACGTCAATGGATAGTTTCGGTAGTGAAACATAAGTGGCGGAAATAAACATACTCTGGTTTTGAGTCTTAGACTTTATTTGTTTACTAGCTTTTGCCCGCGACTTCGTCCGCGCAATATAGTTACTTTGGGCAACATACATTTTCCAAAAACGCTGTTGTTTTTTGAGCTGATGATGAAATTACCTTGATGTTTAAGTTCGAAGATAGGACAACAAAAAAACCAACAAATGTCCAATATGTTTCAGCACTGTATCTTTGTAACTTTAGATATATTAATCCAATTGGATGGATTGGATGGATCCAATGCAATTTGAAATACAGATGAAAAAAGATTAGTTCTGAAGTTTACAAAAAAATTAATCGAAAACGTAATCTACGCAAAATTCTTTGAAAGTAACGATACCATCTAGGCACAACGCCATCTATTGGGTTTATTTGCTACCTAGATGTCAAACAATATTGAAAATTTTATCTATTTAATTGAAGATTTTATCAACGTACATCGCCATCTATGAGAACTTCATAAAACTAAACAGTAAATAAACACTTGCTTAAGAAACAATTAATTAGTCCATTTTATTCGTTTACATTCACGACATAAGCAAATAATTCAGATGATAACCATCCTATCCAGTAAGTTAGACCGAATAAGAAATTTGATTAAAATCGGTTCAGTAGTTTTGGAGTTTATTGGCAACATACATCGTGACACAAAATTTTTATATATATAAGATTTATTAAGATACAAGACAGGATATAATAGGGTATTTGACGCTATTCTGAAAACTATTTAAAATGGTTGTTTAATACATTATAAACACACTGTCAATATATTTCATGAGAATCTGCTCTATTTTTGATAAAAATAATTGTTAAAGTTTAAATAGCCAAAATCGCGAGAAAAACGCTGCTCTATGTAATGGCGCTAATCACGTGGTATTAGTGACGTCACATGGCGGTAAATGTGACATCGATTTCAGTGTCATGACGTTAAAGAAATCAGCGCCGGTGACGTCAATATAGTTGTCGTTTCGTCATTGCAAGTATCGGGACTGACACTCGCACAGAAGTCACTACACTTACATCGACGTCACGACACTCATACGCTGATGTCTTTAACGTATGACACTGACATCGACTTCAACTACACACAAGTCGATGTCCCGACACTCACATCGACTTCGACCTCGATGTCAAGACACTTACACAGACTTCGCGACACTCACAAAATCTTCACGACACTCACACTCACGTCGATGTCGCGACACTCACGTCGAAGTCGCGATACTCACCTCGATGTCACTGACATTCACGTTGATGTCATGCCACTCACATCGACTTCAACTACACGCAAGTGGATGTCCCGATCCCTGTCGATGACACGACACTCGTCGATGTCATGACACTCTCATTGCCATTACTGACACTAACAAAGATGTCACGACACACATCGAATCGATGTTGCGACACTCACACAGACATCGACGTCGATGTCATGACACTCGGACAGAGGTAACGACATTCACATCGTCGTTACTCACGACGATACATCGACATCGACGTCGATACCATGATACTCACACAAATGTCACGACACTCCCATCGACGTCGAATCCACGACACTCACGACGTAACCGACACTGACGTCGATGCCACGACACTCGCTCAGACGTCACGACAACTACATCGACGTCACCGACACTGACGTAGTTGATGTCACGATTGGTGTCTCGACACTCACACAATGAGGAAGTATTTAAAAAAAAAATTAGTTCCCGAAATCAAATTAGATGTCGCTACGGTACGTTCTTGATTTCTCCATGACAACCTTTCCGATTTTCTTTCATGTCTAAAAGTGAATTAATTTTCAAAACTCAATAAACAACTCATATTCTATTTGTACTTTTTCGTATTTGTATTGATATCTAAATTTCGAACTTTGCAAACTTCAGTTTTTTAATATGTTAGTTAAAAGGAACGGAAATTACTGTCTTTGGTCCATTCGTTTCCTGCAAAAATCAAGTTTTGCTAGAGTCGCCATCTAGTGGAGGTGCTTATTTAGTGCTTTCGTATTTTTTTAAATACTTCCTCATTGATTTTGATGATGTTTGAAAATCACACCGACACCAATACACTAACATCGACATAACTTTATCGACTTTACCTTATTTTATATAATCATAATTATCATCAAACTAATGAAACATTATCACTACTCAAGTAATCATATTATTTGGACATAATTCACCGTGCGAGCGAGCCCATTGCGGATTGGTGGGTGTTTACAACTACAGAAGCATGTAGTGTCTTTCTGTGAATAAATTTTTGAGGACCCATCCTACGACTGACCTTTGAGAAAGTTGAAGACCGGAAACGCTCACGACTTCACCATGAAACTCTGTCTATGTCTTTACTAATATTATATAGAGGAAACATTTAATTGTTTGTTTGCATCGGATAAGTTCCAAAACTACTGGACCGATTTTAAGAATTCTTACACCCACGGGAAGCTACATAATATGCGATGAACATAGACTATATTTTATCCAGGAAAACAGCAAATAAAAGGATAAACATTGGAGCAGAAGTTTATATAGGGAATTAAAATGTTTCCATACTAACCATTTTTTTCTAATTAAATTGTCCAAATGAAATATTAAATAAATTCTAAGCCAGGATTAACATATGGGCTACTTTTTATCCCGCTAAACAGTTCGCTAGAAACCACGCAAGTGAAGTTGGCGAAAAACTATACTCCATTCATTATAACATTAAACAAAAAAGGGTCATAGAAGCAGCAGTGCAAAACATTTTATATATTATAGTTTTGTTGAAATTTCGAACTTTAGGTAGTCTGAAAGAGCTGGGCAATTTTCCATTTTTTACGATACCTCGGGGTTGAGATGAGACCAGCATTTTCTTAATTCATCTTTCAAGCCAACATGGAACTAAAACTATCTATTTGTTGATTTGATAAATTCTAATTGTGAGTGCATATAATAAGAATAGTATTTAGTTATATCGATGACCAGGAAAGAATGTTAAACAAAATGAATTTGTGATTATAACATTTATTCAGACATTAGTTAGACTATAGATGAAGACATTAGAAAAAAAATCTGAAATTTCAAAGGTATGGGGGATTAAAGCTTAATTGTTGTAGGGCACTCGGGCCTGCACCGGCATCGTTGATATTTAACAAAACTTAACAACTTAATCACGGAAAACGGCAAATAACAAGAAAGGCAGTAGCATTCACAACGGATGACAATCGCAGATTACGTATTTTAACAATTATGAATACATTATAGTCTGACAAAATTAAAAACCTGTACTGCCGAAACGTTAGAAGGGATGAGGCAACGTTTTAAATTTGGTAGAGTTACAGTGACGTGAGAATCGTGCCGAAACTATCCAACCCTGCTTCTTTAGGTTCTTTGAGATGCACACTTTTTATTGTAATAGTTATTAAATCATTTAAGTTGGTCAAGAACTCATTAATTTGTTTAATAGATTGCTTAAATGAGAACAGTTAAGTAAAGCAGTTGGTATTTAAGTAGATATGTAGCAAATTAGCCGTCAGTCTTAAGAGTCACATGATTAATGATATTTTATCAAATCAAATCAAATCAAATCAAATTCATTTATTCGGCGCATGCACATAGGACACTAAAATATAATAATTTATCACATTAATACATATTACAATAAACATTAGATTAAACGTACAATTACAAGCAATAAGATATTTAACATTATTCAACATTTAAATAATAAAATAAATAATATTGTGTCCCACGACTGCACCAAATGGGTATCTAGCTCGGCATTTGTCGGTCTGTTTACTTTCCAGAAACAGACCGACGCCGATTTTCAGCTAGACCCTATGCATTCACCACACGGCCATTATCACAAAGTATACCATAAAAAGAACCTTATTTAACTTCTATCTAATGCTATAATGAATGGAGTATAGTTTGGTTTATAGGTGAATAAAAAAAAAAAAGGAAATTAATGAAACAACGTCTAATTCTATATTCCTTTATTTCGTTCGTCAACTTTCGTAGTTTTTCTCATTACATATTTGGGTACTAGAACAATAAAGTTTATCACTTACATAGCAGGGTTCGGAATGATAATTATCTTAATAATTTGTATAACACCACACAAACTCTTTGCGTACTTTAGAACTTGTTATTCAAGGGGAAAAATCTTTTAAGAACTATCAAATGTGGCTTTTTTTTGATATAGAGAATTGTCTAGGACGATTTTCATTTTATTCAATGTGGTTTGAATATATTTTTATAATTTAAAACAACAAAAATAAAAATTATTTATGCCTTTCTGTATTTTAAAATTTGTAACCAGTAACCACCGATAATTATTGGATATTTATCAAAAAAGTAATTATCTTGGTAATAACAAACCCTGTTAGCATATAGAGTTTAATATCAATTACAGGATCCTCACCTCATTATGGCAAATATGTCAATTAATATCGGTCATTCAAAAATTTGTGTTTGTATTATTATTAATTTAAACTACCATTTATATATATGTATTTTTTAATGTTGCCAGTACCCAATACCACCAAAAAAACTAATAGACGAAGAGCTAGTGACAAAAATGTGCAAGAGCTTTCTAAAGCTTGACATTATGTTGTCAGTATGTTGAAGTACCGGTGCGGAGGTCAAGTGCTAGAACACCTGGCGGCCGGGCAATGTGGAATACCAAAAATCGTAACATAGATTAATACTGAAATATCAAGCTTTAGAAACTTGCACATTTATGTCACGGTCTCTGAGACTATAAATCATTAAGATATTATTTTAATACATATATAGGTAATATATTAATTATTAGTCCAGTCAGAGTAATTCAAAGAAGATCAATGTGGTGTCAGTTTTGGCTCAAGATTTGGCCGATGCAAAATTAGGGAAACAGCTTAATAAATATAACTAGATGGTTGACA